TTTTTCATGCGGGAGTAAATAGACATTCATTTGATTAATGTAATTTAATTCTGAGTTGTAGCTACATTCACTTGGGAGACATCTGATTGTAAATACGGAGGTGTATATTTTGTATTATAGAATCGAGAAATTTTGTAAATAAATTCATATCAAATATTGTAAATAGTACAGATTGGGCTTTTGTTACAATCATTTTTCTGGCCTGCATCCAGTCCTTCTGTTGCAGTGTCCGTAAAGTGACCACACTGTGACATTTACAAATGGATCATAGGGTATTCCGAAATCTGTCTCCATGCACGTTTTGAAGATTATTCTGGCGATTTTAACTTCATGTCGTGACACATGTCTGCTGGTAATTTCAGAGGCATACAAAACTTAAAAATTTGCCCTTACCGATTACGGAAGGCTTTGATAAAAAGAAGCTGACCCTGTACATGAAGGGAGTTCCACTGCCTTATCTATTCAGGTATTACCAACGTGACTATATAGAGTCGCTAATTGAAGAAACAAATTCCACACAATACACCCACTCTCTGATTGGCATACAAGTTTACAAGCTACAATTACAAAGAGACCCCCAAACACCTGTTAAAGCCTGCACATTTTTTTTTATTTCCGACAGAATTCAACAAGTACTCATTATATACACTTCGCAAAGACAAGCAATGACAAGTATGCAAAATGATGGCAAAGCGGCACTTACTTTTGAATGAAAATTTTCACCAGTAGAATTAACACGATTTGAAGGAAACACATTTACAACCACACGCCTAAAAGCAAGCCATTGCCTTGTAGAATTTCATTGGTAGCATTAATCGTCTTCGAAAGTAAATTCCACACATAAAGACAAAACCGAAGTTTTAATAAAAACGGTGCGGCGGTTAGTTTTAAAGCAACCAAATATATCCAGCTTGAGCTTTGTATGAAGTAGTATTTTACATGAATAATTACCTAACTTGTGTCTGTAACTCCGACCAATACAGGATTAATTAGATCGTGCAACAGTCTCACTGATAAAAAAATCACAAAGTTTGAAACGATGAACAAAAATCACTTTTAAGATGAATTGGACGAAGTTCGTCTCAATCTACCCAATATTTAAATTACTGAGAGAAAATGAGCTAAAGACCTTGACACTGTCTGGAAGAAAGGGCCAGTTCACTATAGGGCCAGTAATACAGTGCGCCATCAACAGAGTGCCAGGGATTACGAGTTCAATGACACAGACACAAACGGCAGCAGATGTTAATATCCAGTTTTGCCAGATGCAGTAGTCAATGAGTGTGTGCACTGGTGCATGTAAGGGTCTGAGCCCGAGAGAACATCAGTAACCACGTTGCAAGTAGCGCACAACCTGCATGTTTGCTTGCGACTTTGACATGGTTATGGATAGAAGGCGTCATTAATGAACGTTAGCATGCGAGCAATTGTGGCGTTGTAAATGTGTCGTCATAAGCTAATGTCTTCAGTTTGAAAACATATAAATCCGACGCAAGAAATATAAGGTGTGGAGTTGAATCCCCGACCACACTAACTACAGGTTACATTTTGTGTTCTGTCCCTGTTTGGAGAGCTTCCGGAAACCCCTTTTACAGGCACACTTCCCAACGGTTAAAATGGCTGTCTACGTACCGTTTGGGTTCCAATGTAAATACAGAATTTAAACATCTGTAAAGGCGCACATATGTCCAACAACGTAATCATAAGAAACACGTCCTCTTGCAGAAGGCAGTCAGTAATTGCATTTCCGTACATTACGTGAAAGAGAAAAATAAAATCAACTATCGTATAGGTCTAGTTCTTTCTTTGTTGTTCTGTCTTAGTTGCTCCTCTTATCTCCGCTTCAGCCAACCGACGAATGTGTAGTATTCCCGTTGTTTCTGTTCACAGCAATATAGCATCATCTCGCTCACGGCGCATTGCCTATGGCAGCATTCGTCGACTATGCCCCGGCGGGTCCCCCTTGCTGTCCCGCGCTTGAAGAAATCCACGGCGTTCTTACGTTCCACAAAGGGCTCTTCTGTTCGTACAGAGGGGGAAAGATAACCATTACCAAGATCACGTGTCAGTTGTTAAGTGTACCCTTTCGTTTACCGTCACGTTAGTTCCTTTATCTATTTTGTTTTGTGTCCCAATTACAGACGGTACGTTTCATTTAAATTTGATCCACTTTCGGAGTTCCTTTATTGATTCTGTCCCCATGATGATTATCTTTGTTCTCTGCTAAAACGCAATATGTATCAGTTAAACGTTGGTTGCATGTCCGAAAACACCTAATGCGAAGCATATAGCGTTTAGGAAGACCCACCTGCACTCATTCATCTCGCCATACAAATGAGGGTAATCAAATCGCCAATTCATTATTTTATAACCCATACTTATCGGATCCAGGAGATATCCCTTAAGCCGATTTGGCTCTTCTGATAAGCTTTGGGATAAGAACGAACTTTGGTTTAAGCAGTAATTTCTCCCGTGTTTTAATTAAAATAAGTACCCTGCCATCTGAAATTGTTCCCAAAAATCCGCAAAATTGCCAATAAGATTCTTTGTTGGTCGCATTGGACAACCAAAGTAACAGCACTTTTCTTTCCCAACCCTAACTTCTTGCTTCAAGCCCTTATTTTTTGTTTACAAACACCACTTATGCTTTGCACAAAGTCTGAGAATGATTTCCGATTTGTTCACTGCCGTAGACGACCCTCCCTTAACTGGCAAATGCCAACACGAAGGCTCAAGCAAACGCGAACAAACATTTAATGTTGTCTTTGGCATGGTAAAGCCTTTACCGGCGATGAATTCAGAGACGGTTCTTACCACTGAACCATAACTTTGAGCGGTGTGCATATATCCGACTTGCTCTTCTCCCACTTTGAGAGACTACAGCCGTTGGATGTCCACAGTATGATTCATAAGCCCATTCAAATGGTCAGGTTGCCGACGTGAGCTACAAGGAGACTGTTTTTCAGACAGAATACTTATCCAAAGGTGTGACGACCTATCGAAGGAGGGGTACGTACGGTATTGCATTTGGGCAGGTAGGTCTGCTGTCCCAACCATCCAATTCTTCTCTGTTAAATTTGGGTCGATTTCAGAGAACGCTGAAAGTGCACACTTTCCTACGATCCCCGGGCTCACAACCCGTGTGCGCAGATTTGACCACATTACGGCAATGTAATTCATACAGAACGTGCTAATTATAATGCAGATGCGTTACAATGAAAAATTGTCCGGTCTGACTGTCTCGAGTGTTTTTCTTTCTTTACACGTATCGCCACAACTCAAACATATTTAACTGAAAACGTCTGGGTCCAAACTGACCCAGAATCTTCGTGTGAACGTGCCCAAACCTTTTCAATTACGGTGAAGTGTGTGTTTGAAGGTGGTAGACTTATTTCTATAAGCAGTAAATATCTGAAACCTTTAAAGTTTATCATTTAATCCAGGGTGCAGTACACCTAGAACACACATTCCTCCAGTGTGAAGTTACAAATCTGTATTTCGGCACATAATGCTTCGTACCGGTAAAACATGGGCAGTAGACTTCTCGTACGTTCATGTCTTACAAATACATTCAAATTGGTGCAGATTTTTCAATTCTATTCACTGTGGGTTTCTTTTTCTCTTACTTTCACATCCAATTTGCCATTTGGGCTCGTTTTAGTCATTGAATTTAGTTTGTGGGTATTTCTTGACTTTTTTCTTTTTTCATCGAAGCGTGCAGAATCTTTCATCTTCACGTCCTTTTCTTTTTCGTTCAAGGTAAATCTATTTTCGCTCTTTCTGAGGCCTTTCACGAATTTGAATGAACATATTTAGAATGTTCAAAATAACAAAAACGAATGACATCTCTCGATATTTGATGGCACACATAAAGAAGCATTCATTTTAAAACATATTAACTGGGTCTCGTGTAAAATTAGACGACATTCTGCTGAAATTGGCCGAGAAAACCTATACTTAACATGAAGTAAATAATACACTATCCTATGTACATATAAGAAACATTTTAATCAGAGCTCTCAGACGTAGTGTGAATAATCGGAAAACCTACCTATCGGTCTGGTTATACTGTTGGTTCTCTTGTCGAATCCGGCATAACAGCTGTCGCAAAGCGACTGTACGGTGCTGTAGACATCTGAGCAGTACCAGCTATCGGCACTTACGTAGACGAAGCACGCAAGGGCGACCAGGGACATGACGGTGACCTGCCGGGCCTGCGGTAAAGGCAGGCGGAGGGTGCCCCGTAAGGAGTGCGTCATCTGAAGACAGAAAGTGATGGTGAAGATGTCAAAGACGAAAGGTCTAAATATTGAACACTTGACAGTTACCAGAAGACACCACAGGGGTGGTAGGGAGAGAGACAGGTGATATGACAATAGTCTTGGCGTCTATCGGACTCACACTTGTTTGGGTTTCCTTTTAAACGGCTATCCTTTCCGTCAAGTCTTAAAAAGACATAAATTGAGCTGTTCCTTCTGATGCTTACGCCCACGTATAATTCATAAATCATGAAAATGCCTTTGCAATCGATTGAGCATCAATCAATGGGTTCACTGCACTTACTTATAACATCCACCTTATGTGGAAATCTATATTTTGAATCTGCTGCGTAAAGGTTGGGTTAATTATGGTGGAAGGGTAACTTTGGATCAAAGAAATAAGATACAGGTACGGACATGCTTGGCGTACAACAAGGCTTATACAAAAATGACAAAATGGTTTGCATCACTGTCTCATTCAGCTGTAATCTCTTGCCAATTCAACCTCGTCCCCGTTGAGTCCTGCAGTGCGGTTCTCCTGGCTGCTCTCTCGTTAGGGGATTGAATTGTTTGTGAATCAGGAATACGTAATACCATCAAGTCTAGGCCCAATAAAAGCCCACTTCCACATTTAGTGGCGATGTGGTGTGTTAGGAACTAGACTGAAGGGATTCCATGTGACGTCAGAAAAGATAAGAAAATGATTTGAGGGAGATTCGCTGTAATAATTACCCATGCAATTTGCAATGGAAATCGATGATAAGAAAAAAGGGTGATTTTTCCCAGGAGAATTGGGCGTATAATTATTCGTCTTTAAAAACCCACAAACATAAAAGCGTTTAACATGGAATTCGCAATACAAATCAGTTGCATGTTGTTAGAATGAAAAATTGAAAAATATCGGAGTGCAATAGCCACTTAATCATTAAGCCTCAAATGACACGGCCTGGGAACGAGCCGTCACTACCAGATCTTGATGAAGTCATCCATAGGCTCTGGTCTGCCTCAGGAATAGCACCAATGTTTTACAGCACCGGTTAACTCTGGGTCTTAGCGTGTTCTGCTGATGCTAAGCTGAAGTAAGCTATGAACGAGCGACTTTTGAAGCGCTCCCAAAATCGAACATAGAGAGTGATACCAAAGTATTTTACATTTGTGTGCGTGTATGCCGATGTCTTAATGTGCTTTATGAGACGCCCGCATGTATAATGTTGTATACCCCTTAACTTTTTGTTGATCCACGAATGTTTCGTAGGCCGTTTGGTACAATGCTTACCTTACCTAACGGACAACACAGCCCTGGCTGCTTCCCAAATAATTGTGAGTTCTCACGCAAAAAGGTTTAGGTTTCAGGCACTGAAGAACCACGCGGCTTACACAACACAGGCGAGACTTCATGGTTCAGTTTCGTGCACAAACGGGCCTAGTAACCAACAATTGACGCGTTGTAGACCATACTAACTACATTACGTTAACTTCATTTGAACAGCAACACTAATTTCTTGGTCTATTTTTGCATCATAGAATAAAACAAGACCCCTGACATTTTTCTGGAGGCAACTTTAACTTGGACTATTCAGGAAACTTCATTATTCAAGCGAGTGGAAGGCTGACTCCAGGATGGGCAACGGTGCGTCTCCCGTGATTGGCATAATTAACTCAATGGCTGAGATGAATCGTTTGTATCGCACGCTTCCTGCATCAGTGTGACAAAGGAGCCGTGGTATTATTGACCACAAACTCGTTATGCTCATGTGCGTCTGATGCATTAGGTCTGTCCGATACATGTCCACAGTAAAACGAATAAGGTGATATCTGGCATAATACAAGTCGTTGCTATCAAGATTCTTCTTTTTATAGTAATACATCGATTAGACTTTCTCCATGAACATCCCCAACTATGATGAATGGTACAAACATACTGGACTGTACAAATAGCTATGACAATTATCACTGTGAACGTGTATACAGAACACCTACACTGACATCTTTTAAAATCTTTTTTACATAGACAGGAATGGCCCGAATTCAATCTGTACCCTTTGCTGGCTGAGTAACCTGTTCAATGGTTATAGTTTTATTCCAAGATGCCTCCGGATATTTTCAGGATAATCTGTAACAAGGCAGAAGTCAAGACAATAATTGTCTGGAGCTTCCCAAAACTTTCAGATTTTAGCCATTCAACTGATTTTCCGGATTTTTTATCAGGCCCCAAATTTTTACCTTTTAAATCCTTTTCGGCCCAAGAACGTGTGTTTCCGTAAGGTTTTCATCCTCAGACGAGGTCTCGAACTTTTTAAGAAAAACAACAAGATTTATATAGTTATCTTGTTTGCTGTTACGAATCTACCAATAATCTGGTAAGCATGATAAACCCAAACTCGTTATTCTCCAATGACAAGAGCAAATCTTGCATATCATTATGGCCAGAGTTCATGCACCAAATCTGAACAGCACATTATTGGGGCTATGTGACAATAGGCTATCGAAACTTTTTCCGAAAACTGCATGACTCAGTTACCAACATCAGTCGTCTGACGTCACAACATAGACTGAAAAAAATCCGAACACACGTAGGAAAAAAACCTGTGTACAAGGTTGGAATCAGTGAATATCTAGTATTAGTGTCTCCCTGACCGTGTGATTTATGAAACTCTGGCTTTTTCATCATGACTGTTTACAAACGTGGTTTTACGAGTTTGTTGAAGACTTCATGAGTGCCGTTTGAGCCTTGACGGAACGCCAATTATGAGACAACTGCTTTTTGCCAAGGAAACGATGGATGACTTGTAATAAAAACTTGGACTCCTGAACGCATTCAGTTGCGATGTGTGGTTTATTTTGCTACTGTCGAGGAGAATATGAACCTCTTATTTTGCCTGTGTATTTTTCGTATGGGTGGACCTATAAGTTAAGTACATGACCCATGGTTAGTTACAAAAGGTTTCCTTAAAATGCTAAAAATGTTCTGTTGCATCATTACGTTTTTAAAAGGGTGCAGTTTCATGTAGTATTTTGAAGCAATATTAATGAATAAATATCCAGCTAGGCCTACATAAGATTTTCTCGAACTAATGATTGATTTTTCTGCTTCTGTAATGGGCAAGCCATAGTTTTCCAGCCCAATGGTATAGGCAAACAATACGATTGTGATGTGTATAGGGAGAGAGGGCTCCAACCAACTGACTCTATGGCTCCGCAATGAATTGGAGACGTTTGGCGTACAGTCTGCAGGCTAACTCGACAAAACGGGCTAGCTACAAGTGGCATATAAGTTATGATATTACTTAGGCTCAGGGTGAAGCACTTAGTGCTTTAGCCGATCCGAGTGGAGATCAGTGACAAAAAATATTCTCGAAGCAAGGTTATCATCAACTTCAGAACAGGTTGGAGTATCAATATCTTAATTTCCCCAGGAATACGTCCCGGACTTAATTTCGCTCCTGTTATCTGTATGCAAAATTGAGCCAGTTCAAAGATCCACGATTTCACACCAAGCAGCCCTGGAGGCGTGCCGAGAGCTGTAGCCTTGGGGTGTCGCGTCAGCTAAACTGTGGTATACGGTATCCGGCAGGTGCTTCCGTGGTGTTGTCATTTGGCACTTCACTTTAACCCCCCGCCCACTTCGCTTTCTACTTAGAGGCTATTAGATTTGGAGTGTGCTCCGAGCAAAAAGAATAGGAACAAGGACAATAGTTGGATGTGCATCCAATCTGTCCATGTCTTGGAGTAAAAGTCCTTTTAAACTATGAGTTACGCGCTTAATTGCTATGTCAGTTGCGGATCAGAAGTTGTCCTTTTACGTTTCCATTGTAAAGAATTCTTTGTTTGATAGATTAAAATTTCATTCAGTCATCAACCGAATTTAGCGGTTAAGACTGTCAATAGATGAATTCTGTCAGTATGGAAGTTCTTTTTCTATTAGTCTTGTGCATGGGAGCACGGTTCCAATATATAGACTTGGGTTACTTTCTCCAGACATTTGGTAATCGTACAGTTATATTAGCCGAAGTCCCTTTTGGTCCAAAATACTGTTGACGGATATATTTCACTTTTTTTTTTAATAATTTGTTGGTTGTGTTAGTATGTTGCAGCTTCACGGTTCATTTCATAGATTTGTTAAATTTCATGGTAAGGGGCAACAGGGTTAATATGGCCTGGAACCTTTGAGTCTTATATGGCCTGGAATGTGAACGCCTACCCAAAACCGGCGAAAACAATGATTCCGCTTCTGCATCCATCGTGGAAGTAATCGTTGTGGTTTGTGTTACAACTATTCCCTGCCACTGCGGAAGGGTTTGAACCTACAGTGGCTTGGTGCGTGCTCCGTGCGCGTGCATAAATGGCTACTCATTGCCGCCGCGATGTTGAAAGTGACGCGATAACTCATACAGATGGCGACTTCCTTAGGGATCAGTCCTGCTAGGTGAAATTACACAAACCGCGGCGCGAACACCAATATCAATCAATAGCCGGCGGCTCATCTTTTGCCGCTAATATATCTGTAATTGTCCCCTCGTGTTGCGTTACCACCCACACGATTTATAGATGGACTGGCAGGCGGGTCGATTAAATGCAGCCCGTATTTCTCGTACGGGAGGCTGGGGCGAACGGAGCGCTGGTGCAACCGTGGTCGTCCTCTACGAATGCATATTGTAGTCGATTCAGCGCGGTTGTTTTCGTGTTCCCGTGATGAAATATGGACCCTGGTCTGTTTGTTATTTTGCTTAAGCACTGGTTGCATCATCATCGTCCTGCAATGAAATCAGAGTCGTGTAATTGCGTCTCAGGAGGCAACCACCTTATTTTCACTTCCAAGGGTTTTTTTATTTTCTTTCTGTGCGATAAAATGACTTTAATTGTATCCTTTGAGACATAATTTCAATTGATTAGATCCCCAAAATGGAGTCTCTTTTACAGTACCGTGACAGATGCAATCGCAGTATGGTCGATCGTCGTTGTTATTGTCATTATCGTCGTTTTTTTTTTAATACGCGTAT